AAAAAGGATGATTTATACACATAGCACAATTCTTTTTTTACTCACATTTTTAATAGGGCTGTCAAAAAGGCTCGTTGTTCGCGAGCAATTCATGTTTGGGTCGTTTTTCGTGAACAGTTCGTGTTCGGCTCGTTAAGAATCTCATATTTGATTCGTTTGCTAAGTTAACACATAGCACACAATGTACTCACATTGTTTAAAATGAAGTACCTCTTTTCATGCAAATGGTTTGATGTGATCATGACACTGAAGTGTTATATATTCAAAAATATAAAAATTATGTGGTGTGTGTGTAATTCCCCTAGAAAGACAAGTAGATTAATAGGAACTATTTCAAGCTTTATTTCTAATATTTTTTGAGCCACTAGTGATTACATGTTAATCCAATTTAAAAAATTCACTCGAATAACATATAATTGACTTGGGCTTTATTTGAAGTAGCATCACCGTTCAATAAATTTTTTTTAAAAGTCATATTTGTCGAGCCAGGGGAAGCTAACCGCTATCTGAAAAGACGAAAATTTGTCGTTATTGCGAAAGAATTTCGGGAGACATTCCCGCTGCTTCACCAAAAAAAAAGTTTTTTAGGTGTCAGAGTTCACTCGAACATAATAGAACTTCGCCGTCTTTCCAAATGAAACCTCATGTATTTATATGAGGTTATTCCACAAAAAGCTTTCTGACCATATTACATAAAAAATCTACAATCTTCCAAAACAGTGCGTCTTTGCTTTGTTATCACAACTGATAAAGTGGTGGAACTGTCAGCCACCGGAAGGCAAAACTATCATCACTAATGGCAGTGAATTTTGTGTGCTACCATCAATAAGGCTAAAAGTATTTGATCACTCAAAGGGTAACTCCTCATCTTCTAGATGTGAAATCTAAATGTCAAACCCACCTCATCTTCTAGATGTGAAATCTAAATGTCAAACCCATATTAAATCATTCACTTCCATTTAACAATATTGTTACCACCAATGTCGGACAATTGATTGAAGCTATTAACTCTGGTGTAAATGTTTTTGGCGTGTTCTGAGACACCCCGCGAAACCCGACTGAAGAACATTATCCCATGTTACACTATGCTTACTTTTGGCTTGGTTCACATATCCGATGACAAGGTCCTCAATAATGATGCACACACTTAAAGTTCAATCTTTTATCTATGACCATGATGTGTACATAGTGAGTAGGTCATTTTGTGTTTTTAATAGAGAACCTAACACTTGAGCCATTGAGAATCTCCAATGAAATTTTAGCCAAGTACTCAATTAATGTTGGGTTACATAACATCCATGTTCAAAAGCTTGACGAAGAAATAGCAAGGATGGGGAGTGTGATACATATTCATGATACATTTTTTATGCATTTTTCAGTTATTAATATGCATACATAATTTTAAATTTCATTTACATGGATGCACTAATTATGGGGGGGATTGATTTCTTTGTGTATTCCTTGTAATTTTTTGCAATAGATTTTCCATCATCAAAATGAGCTCACCCATGTAATGGGCTGATAGTGTTAACAAGTGAAAAATTATGTGCTATAAAAATGGGGGGCATCAATTTTAAGCGGGTAATTTGAAGTATTAGTAAAATATACATTATTATTGTATCTTTTAGAGTTATTCTCACATTATATCTATCTTTTGTTATATTTTTGTCTATTCATCGTAGTCATTCTAGATTAACAATTCAACATAAAAGTTAAGTGTTTTCCCTAACATGTTTGCATACAATAAACATCTCAAAAAGTCCCAAAAAATAGATATAAATGCTAATTACATTTACATTTTTTTTTTTGTTGAGAAGTATTTTGAATAGTTTGAAAATAATGTTCAAGATGTGTTGATCATGACAAGCATTCTCTCTGAGATAATCACTACAAATCAAATTCTTTAGCGTCCCATTTCAGAGATGAAGGGAATAGCAAAACCTATACAAACTATTTTGAAAATTGAGTTTCTTTCTTCTTAATTAAAAGTATTTTAATTAATGTTCAAAGAAAAGGAATTGCAAGTTTACTCCCAAGGAAATCATTTAAGTAATGTTGCACTCAATACCCAGGGGCAGTCTGGTCAAAGATTTAAATTGGATTTACCTTAAATCCTGTTATACCAAATAAAAAAAAAATGCCAACTTCTAAATACTAGATTTACTAAATCCAACTTCTTTTCAATTTCTCCCCAACTTTGCTTTAAACCTTCGATTTACTAAATCCTGGTTTTGGGGATTTAGCACATTTGAAGTTATAGGGTTTACTAAGGCTCTGTTTGGAGCAACAGTGCGGTGTCGGTGTGATGTCGCGCCGCGCTTTCAGGTATTTGGCAAAAGTGTGTTTTGTCTGTTTTATCAAAAAATTATGATGAGAAGTTATGTTTTGCAATCTTACCGAGCAAAGTATAGCAATTGTGAGGTCTGAGCTTTTAAAAATAAAAAAAATTTGTACTAACCGTAGCTTTTTGAATATCAGTTTGCAGCTTTATAGCTGCTTTTTCAAATAGGGCCCCAAACATAAACTAAATCTATTCCTAAACAACCCATCCAGACTTTCTGAATCATTTAGGCTTGCAAATAAAACTGGAAAGCCTCCACATTTTGAAGAAAACAGATTGAAGATGCAACATAATCAGCTAAATAAATATTCGATTTACCGAATGGGGTTTCCACATCGACCTCAAACTTCACATTGCTTTGTGTGCCGACTATCGCATTCCGCAGTTTCTTACAAAACCAATATATCAGGAAAAATAAAGGCAAAGCAAACAAAAGCAAAGAGTTGAAAATCACATAAAAAATGGAAGCCACCTGCACTGCATTCTGTAAAGAGCCCTGGGGAATCACCAATGGAAAAGCAAAGGAAGACGACAGCGGGTTAGTAGAAACACAACTTGGATTAGTTGACGGACAAGCCCTAATCTTTCTGCAAAATAAACAAAACTATTGATTTCTTGCAACTAACTAAAAAAGTTCCGATGGGATGGAGAAAAAAATGAGATTTTTGGGCTTACCCATCTTCCAATCCTAATTTCAAACTCTTAGATTGGGAGTAGGGAGTGGTGGAGGAAGTGGAGAAGGTCTGCGGGGCAAGGGGAAGTGTAGCTAGAGAAGGAAAGGGAGAGGTAAGAATAATGGCGATGGCCGCGGGGGCGAAGGAAGAGAGAAAAGTCGCCACTTTGGAGCTGGAGATGGGAGAAACAGAGGATAGGGTTTGAAGGGCAACGGTCAGAGGTGAATAGGACTCTGTATGTTGGATAAAGCAATAGTATGGCCTGTGGAGTACTATGATTTTTGGGAGATTTACGTGCATGCCATGCAATTCTTATGTATTCACATATCTAATATTTAAACTTTAGTTTTTACATCTAGAATTGTGAATTTAGCCATTAATTTGAATTATAGCGTGGATTGAGATCCCTATCTAATATTTAAACTTTAGTTTTTACATCTAAAATTGTGAATTTAGCTTGAAAATCGTTAATCACTCCATTAATTTGAATTATAGCGTGGATTGAGATCCCTTGGAAATAAACACGCCGAGCTATGAGCCGAAATTTTTTATTGACATTTTTTCGAACTGGTTTCAAGTCATACATGGATCAGCTCAAATTGGCTCAAAGTATTTTTTATTTATAAAAATAGCGAGCTAAGAATCAATTTAGAGCTTATTTTGAGATGGAAGAGATCCAATAACTCAATTTCAGCCAGCTAGTTTAGATTTCGAGCAGAAACAAATCCAAATAAATTAATTTGAGCTAGCTTGTTTCACTTTCGAGTCGAATCGAATTCGATTAAATTTCGTGCTGAGTTGGCTCGAAATTGAATATAACGAGCCACAAGCTAATTTTAAGCCTCACTCAATCTATTTGAGCCAATTTCAAGCCGACCCCAACTCCATCATTTACGGTGAATCTGATCTTGAGGGGGTTTATACTACTAACCAACATTATCTTGTTATAAGCTCTAGAATTAGTGAACCTTGTTATAACATAAAGAAAATCTTGATTGACTGAGAAAGTTCAGTCGATGTCGTATTTGATTCAACTTTCTTGAGTCTTGGTTGACGAACGAAAAACTACAACCTATTTATGGATCTCTTAAGGCTTTGATGTGCACCCTGTTAGGTTAAACACCAACTTTTTAGATCGAGCAAGGCATTGTTAGTCTCTGGAAGGACTGGAGAGCTCTGTGAGCTAAGGGGAAGCTTGGAGAGCTCTGGGGGCTCAAGGGAAAGCTTAGAGAGTTCAGCTAGATGAGGGGAAAAAAAAATGAGCTAATTTATGTCTGAGGAGTCTTTAAAGAAATTTAAATTCTTAGAGATTTCGATTATGAAGGCCATGAAAGAACACAAGTATGTTCATCGTGCCAAAAAATAGGCTCCATCGAGTTGCTCTAATCATTTTGAATGTGCCCCTAAGAGGAATTTGTTGAGTAATTAGGGCGAAGAAAACAGTAATCAACACAAATCCAGAAGAACACAGAGATTTAACGAGGTTCGGCAAAGATGCCTACTTCCTCGGGAGCAGAGCGGCGAATTTCTTTCACTATTCAAAAAAGAGATTATAGAATAGAAGATCCCTCCTGGGGTTACTAACATGTCTATTTATAACCCTAGGAGAAACCCTAGGCACAATATGTAATTACAACATTACCCATGACCATACCGCGGGGCTTTGCCCCCGCACCCCAACCCACGTAACTTATCAATTTAGAGAGTGAGCTGAGTTGGCTAGAAGGCCGAGCTTGATCCCTAGGAACTCGAACAATTTTATTTAACTCATGAACTCGAACAAATAATATTTATTGTTTCATGAACAAACAACTACATTTCACTAGTTTGGCTTACATGATGGATCTCTGTCTTTTTTTCTGGTTGATTCTCAGTGCTTCTCTACATCCTCAAACATTTTGTGCCGATCTTTTGGATCCTTACAATAATTATGGAAAATCATGAAGTTTTTTTATGAGTTATTTTCATGGGTTGCACTTTTCAGCCGTCAATCATAGAGAATTTATTAAAATATTGCAAACTCCACTCCATATGTTTTCTTTTTTCAAACTCCATATGTTTTCTTTTTTTTTCTTTTTCTGTGAATTTTATTCCCTTTTCTTCTATTTCGTGTTTAGGAACGAGGTCATGGCAACGCTTATGAATGGGTTATGTATATAATGACCTGTCTGTCCTGTCTTGTGTCCACAAGAAATTCCCTTTTACCTGAACCAAAAAAGGTATGTAGTCCTGGATTACTCTAGAAAATTCCGGGGAAATGATCTCTGGATGACTACATGGGAGTTTAAATTAGCATATTTTTTTTTAAAAAATATATTGAACATGTAAAATTTCCAAACTGGATTAAAAAAAAATGGGATGAAATTATCTTTTTTTCTTATGATATCTGGCTTAATGGCTCTTTATTTTATGATCATTTTGGAGGATTTGTTACTACTTGGTTTTATTATACCCCTTATGCAAAGGGGTCGAATATGATTGCTGCTAATCAATGGAACCTACTCTTTCTCCTAATGCATCTTCTATATGCATCCAGCTTATGTTCAATACTCCCATTGTTGCCATCCATTTGAACTGCTTTTGGCAAGGGAATGACCACTATTCACATACTTCTACTTACATGTTTCTGTATGACAATTGTTTCCTTATGGGTTGAAGTAAATTTGTCTGGAACAAAGGGTGCTCCTTCAAATACAGTGCTTTTGTTTGGAAAATTCTGGTGGCTGGCCTTAAAACCAAAGACACTTCTATATGAAGAGGGATTGCTGTGAATTCCACATGTATTCATTGTAACTCTCATATGTAATTACAATCACATTTTTATTGTGGTTCAAGCAAACAAACTATCTCATATGAGTTCCTGCTAAAGCTATAAGCGAATGAATAATTTGATGTTAGGACAATTTAGTATCTTTAATAGCTGGATAATTTTGACAAACATAAGGTACAGTGTTCTTCTTGATTGCAGGACAGGCTTATTTAATTTGCTTTTGGGCATCAATCCTCTTTTCGAGTTGAGGAGATTGGTAGGTAAGGAGATGTTGGATATGCCTTATCTAAGATCCTGTTGTATATAACAGGAGGCGATATATTTCGTTAAGAAGTGTTTAATTGTTTTAGGATTTATATGACCAACTTGCTGAAACGTAGCAGCCATATGAAATGCAGTTATTTTATGGTTCAGCTTGCATATCATTCTATCTTTGTATTGGAATCCTTTGTCATATATATATATATATATATATAACTCATTGCAGGTTTATATTTAGGACGGGCTTTTTTTATTTATGATCAATCCTTTTGCCTTAGCATGCTTGATCTACTGATTTATAAAAATGGCTATGTTGCAGACTAATAAATATAAACTTTATGATGTTTGCTTACAGCATTAATGTTTTAACTATAATATATGCAAATATGTTATAAAGCACTGTCCCAGAAGTGGTTTTAGATGCAATGAAAACAGACAAAAGAAGGAGAACAATGCTAGGTGTAAGGTGATAAACAACTGAAACAATCGATTGGCTTTAAGTGCTACAAAACCAGACTGTAGAGGCATGAAGGATCGGTACCATTCTCTTCAGATTTGTTCCATATCCTTCTTATTTTGTAAATGCTATTTTATTTCACTTTTGATTGCATTGTATGAAAATTTATTTCGTTTGTATGATAATGGAATTTCTGATAAGCCTTGATAGTTTAGTCCTCATGTATTTTGGCATGAAATTATACAATTATGTTCATTTCTAACACCTATAATTCATTTTTTACATACATACCATCTTAACATAGAAAGTTTGTTTAACTTTAAAAGTTAACATGGTGGTATTTTTTATGTGAAATGAAAGCTTTTAGTGGTATAAATGTTAAAAAAAAAAAAAAAAAAAAAGGTGTAAATGAAAAAAAATTTTTTTTTTAGATATGCAAACACATTTGGTTTAATTTGATTGATTTAATTTATTAATAATTAATGATTAATTCATATATTTTTCAAATAAATCATAATTAGATAAAATTATATACTATTATTTAATGATTGATTAGCTATTTAACAAACATATTTTTTAATTTTAAATTATTTGATAAACATAAATTTTGTAAAGTAATAGAACTAATTGATTTTTAATTAATATTAATTAATTGGTTCAGAAAATAATTTATTTAATTTTTTTTTATCTTCAGTTATATACAAACATACTAAACAGGGACAGTATGGTCATTTTTCCAGAAATAGTTGTTCCACAGCTGTTTTCACACAGCTACAACAAACATACAGCAAGCTTCCTCGCAACAGCTTCCTGGGACAGCTGCAGCTGCAACTAAAAAGCTGAGAAGCTGCAGCTGCGCCAAACAGAGCATAATTCCTCGTCTTGAATGAATGATTGTGAAAAGCACTCACTTAGAAAGGGCTTTTTCATTTTGAGCAAGATATCATGAATATATATATATATAT